CCCCCCCCAGCTCCTTCCCCAGGTTCCTCCCCCAGCTCCTCCCCAGCCCCCTCCCCGGTTCCCATTCCCTTCCCAGGTCCTTCCCCAGGTTCCTCCCTAGCTCCTTCCCCAGCTCCCAACCCCCTTCCCTCCCCACCTCCCCCAGCCCCCCCATCAGCTCCTTCCCCGTTCCCTCCCAGCTCCCCCCCCAACTCTTCAGAGAGGCTGCCAGGCCCATCACACACATCCCACCAATGAAAGGATTCAAAACTCCAGGAAGATAGGATGAAACCAGCAAATTGTCTCCTCCTGCATCCAAATCTCTCAGCTGCTGGTTTGTGGCAAAACAGTGGCAGGAATTATTTCCAGAGAATTCATCGGATGCTTCAACCCTCCTGAAGGACTACAGGCATCCTCTGAAGTCTCTCTCCGGGGAAACTCATCCTATCTGTAAGCCTGTTAAAAATCCTTCTTCCCCTTTCCTCCAGGGAAGAGATGATTTTCCTCTAGTTGCTGACAGTGTAGCCATCAAGGGTGGCTGAGAATGTGCATGCTGAACTCATGGCACACGCGCGTTCAGAATTGACAAAATGCCACTTCCTAACCCGAACTATTAACTTAGAAGGGCAATTCAGCCACACACACAAAAAAGAAAAAGAAACAAAAAAGGCAACCCAAAACTGAAAGGGAAGTAACTAGTCTGTTCAGGCTGCGGTAACAAAAAATATGACAGGCTGAGGGGCATGCATTGCTCACAGTCCAGGAGGCCAGGAAGCACCGACATGGCTGCCGTGTGGCTCGCATGGTTCATGTGGCTCGTGGCTACTGCTCGCTGCCCTGTCCTCACAGCGAGGTGGGGACCAGGGATCTCTCTGCGGCGGTTTGATAAGGCGTTCATCTCGTTAGGGCCCCTCCCGAAGGCCCCACCTCCTAATACCATCACATCAACATAGGAGTTTTGGGGGGACACAAACGTTCACATCACAGCAATAACTAAATGTTGACTCTCAGATTATGGACCTTGCGTCTGTAACAGACGGACATCCGTCCTTTTCCCCCGGTGCTTTCCAGAATAACCTCCTCGAGGAGACACGTGTGCCCAGTGATTGCGAGAGTCTAGGTCGGAACGTGAACGAGGGAAGTGGCTTCTGGGAGGAGCCCATGCCCCATCTCGAGAAGCAGCCGTGAGCGGTCACCTCTAGACAGCAGCAGCCAGGCAGGCCCGGGATTGCCGGATCTTCCCATTTTTTCAAGAAAAGCCCCAAGCAAAGATTTTCCTGGGAAATCGGTCCATTGTAAACATTGGCTCCAATTTTAAAAAATGGTGCAGGCAAAATAAACCGCATGCGTGGGTGACTTATCCCCTGTCTTTGGCCTAGGGACCCTACTGTGCTGCAGCCTCCCGGCCCCGTGGAGGGGGTGTTAATGCCTAAAATCCTTGGCAGGTCCCAGCCAGTGTTGTGCACGTCGCCCACCCGCTACGGGAGGAGTCTGAAGTCTGCAGGCCCCCCAAAGGCAGTCTCTTGTGGGTAAGTGGCTTCCCCACGCAGGCGATCATAAGATAAACATTCAAAGAATGTCAGGGCTCTTCTTCCAGGAGGGGAATTGTCAGACACGTTTCATTTTTAACCACTCTGGGATGCTCTCTGGACCATCTGTTCGTCCCAGGAGCTACCAGCTGACTGGCGGGAGCACCACAGGCTCACTTGGGCCCCACCCCACTTTCAGACAACGCCGAGCCTCAGGCGCTGGGTCCGGGTGTGTGGGCACATACGTTAGTCCCTCTATAGTTAAAAATACCAGGTAATAGTCTGCTGATCAGTAGAGTGTTTGTTCAGCACCCATGTGCCAAGCACTGTGCCAGGCACTGCGGTGGAGACGGAACTCGGGAGATGCGGACCTGCCCTTCCGGGGCACACATTCCCATGCGGGAGACAAGACTCACGTCCGTGGACCAGCCAGGAGCGGCGCAAGACAATTTGTCATTTGGTGTGAGAGTGTGTCGTACAGATTTGAAGTTTGGTTGGGATCCAGAGAAAGACCGGGAAGGAGGCCTCAGAATCAGGACCTCCTGAGGCGCCAGGAACGGGGCCACTCTGAGACCTCAGTCCCTCCCTGCTAGGGACAAACAGTATGCATTGGATTTGGGGGCTGAGACGTCACCGCGGACTTCGGAGCAGAGAAGGGGCTTGTCCGTCTCAAGTTCAACAACTTTAATGCAAACTCATGAAATAACAGGAGTAGCTTCAGGGATGGTCCTACAGCACGGAGAACCCCGCGGTGTCGCGACCAGCAACACAGACAGCACTCACCTGTCCGAGCCCGGCTGTCGGGGAGATGCGACAACTCCAGGAGCCCCTCACCCAACAGCTCAGTGTCCCCTGGTTTCCACGGGCCCCACACGGCGGGGAGGGGGGCTTCACTGCCAAGACCCAGGGCTTGGCGCTCTGCTCTGCATGTGGAGAGACCACACACGAGGTGGGAAAGGCAGCGGGACCCACAGAAGGGACGGAAGAAAGGACACGTGGGAGAGACTGGACCAGAAATACCTAGTGAAGAAAACACACCAAAACCTACGGACATCTGTCTCCTAGGGAGACGCGAGGTCCTTGTCCATTGTTCTCTAACGAGCCTCTGCGACACTCCTCCAACAGCAAACTCTGCTGCACTCAGGTGTGCTTCCGGTATTACTGGTAGAATCCAGGTGTGTCGGGGAAACTGGGCACAAAATCCCGTCCATCAGTTCTCACTGCACCACGAAATAGCAGCGTGTTCTGTAAGAGTCGGGACGGAGACGGGGAACTGGGGGAGAAGGGGCCTTTCCTCACACCCAGGCAGGCGGCACAGGGCGAGGGATTGCGGCGGGGGCCGGCCTCGCGGGTGGGGAGGTTGGCGATGGGGTCACCACTGCCTGGGACACGGCCGAAGGGCACGGAGCGGCATCCTTGGAATTCTCATCCTGTAACAACATGGAAGTGAAAATCCCGCCGCTGACCACACTTAGTTAGGCCACAAATTCCGAATCGGTTTCCTGTTCTACCGTCATCATTATGTACAGACATTCTTTACCTGAAACCACAGAAACCTATTTCTAGACCCTTAATAGATCATTTTAAAAACCCTAATTACTACACCAAAAAGTAATAATGTACTACATGTTGGCTAATTGAACTTAATAAAAATAAAATAAAAAATAAAAAAGCAAAACAATAAAAATCCCTTCTAATTAAATTCATGCTTTTTTGAACAGAGACAAGACGTGATAAAATTTAAGAATCCCATAAAGATTGTACATTCTCAGATTGGCATTTCAAGCTTTTTTTTTCATTGCTTAGAAAAAAGCCATCCCACGAACCCGTTCCATAAAGTTACAACACCTGTGTTCCAAGTTACTGACCAGCGGCGTGTCCAACATTGGCCTTAGTTCCCATCACTTACGCACCAGCCATGGGAAGACATTCAAATACTTTCTACTTCACTGCACCCCCTGAAGGTCCCCACTTGCTCTGAACCCCGTGTTCATCTCTCTGAGGGAAATCTCACTCTGGAAGAGCTACCACCTGCCCAAGCTACGACTACTGGGGAATAGTCCACACCTCCGCCCCATTTGCTAAAACCATCCGCAACCGTCTGTTCCCTACGGGGGTCCACTTCATGCCTGTGGGTTTTCTCAACGACTTAGACCCTTTGAGCGCAAACCTGCTGAGGCCAGGGAAATTAATATTCTGGACAGGTCTTCATGGAATCACAGGCATCAAGTGTCTCCTCCTCCGGACCCTAATTTCTACCTGATGGCGAAGGTAAACCAGGTGCTTGGCTCTGAAAAGCTTGTGGGCTTTTCATTAAGGAAAATGACCCACGTGAAACCAGCCCAGGACCCACGGACTCCTGCCTAACGGATACCTGTTCATCTGGCTCCAAAGTCAACACCCCAAGTCTAAAACCAATCTCTCTGTTGTTGTCCAAAAGGCTGGGCATGAAGTGTCGTTCCCTGGAGAGTTCTTAATGGAGAAACGCAAGCAGAGTTGCTAAGACGCCACGGGAGCCCCGAGCCGGCCCTCCTTAGCTTCTGCCGCGGCAAGAGCCACTCTACCTGTCCTGTTTTCCCTGCATCCGACAACGGGCAGTTTCACAAAACCCAGATGGAGAACAAGCTTTCTGGACACCACCAGCCCATCTTGTTCCTACTGGAGCTGGTGCTGTGCGTAAGCTGTGTGCACAGCCACGGCGCATCGGCCACATCCTTCCATCCTGGAATGCAAGCCCGTCGAAAGCTGCGAAGGCTGGGGACCAGTGGGCCCCGAGCTGCTGTGGGCCCAGGCCTGCGCGGCAGGGCCAGAACTGAAGTGGTCACTGAAAAGATCACACACAAAACCTTTTGTTCAGTGAGAGAGATGGAACTCAGTTTTATTGGGTCCTCTCTGAAACTTCCATTTACCCCACAGCCTCATCTATCAAAGAGGAGGAGGGAGCTCTGGATGACTCCCCAGAACTCGAGCGCGGGGGCATGGTGGCTAGCGGCGGTCTGGCTCGGAGAGATCACGCTGCCAGGGTCAGTCCGACCGGCCGCTCTGAGTGAGTTTGGATCCATTAGTGTACCATTCCATAAAGTGCTTCTGGAGTTCAAATCTGCCAAGCCGTCAAAAGCATCCACACTTTCGTGACACAAAGGCTAAAAGAATCCCAATGGGTGTGTCACCGAGTCCTTCCCAGCTGAGTCTCGTGGTTGGCACCTGCCGCTTTAACCGCCAAGGCGCTGGCCCTCACCCCAGGCGAAGCCTCCTGGCCGCTCTTCAGGTAGTGGATTGTAATTTGGATCCTCATCTGGTGTATCAAAAATAGCCTTCCTAAAAGACAGGCAACAGAGACCACTCAGTCCCGGAGTCACCTCGAGAAGGTCCCCTGGGGCCTACACCAAGGGTCAAACATTACACCCACCTACCAGAAACAGTCATTGCGCTAAGAGAGTTTCACAATCATTTCACATTTGCGTTAATGCTTTACCTCCAGGACTATCTTTTTTTTTTTTTTTTACTACGAAAGCAATACATGTTAGTTGTAGAGAAAACAGAAAATATACACAGACATCCTTAATCTCGAGAGAATCACTGTGGGTGCTGTCATCATTCTTCCACAACTTTTCTATGTGTAACAAAAGTTAGATCACACTATTATTTTATAACCTGACTTTCACTAAACTTATCAGGAATGTCTCTCCACAACCAAGGTATCGCCCCGTACCCACTGGCAGATGGATGGATCAAGAAAAGAGTCCGTGCACACAACGGGATAGTGTTCAGCCTTAAAAAGGAAGGAGGTTCTGACTTCTGTGACATCGTGGATGAGCCCTGAGAACACTGTGCTCAAAAACCCAGACACGGAACAGATACTGCGTGATTCCACATGTGTGAGGAACCGGGAGTAGTGCCGTCACCACCGAGGTTGGGGGCAGGGAATGGAGCGTGTTCGTGAGGACAGAGTTCCACTTTGGCAGGCTCGAGAGCGGAAGGACGGACGGGGTCACAGGAACACAGCGTGAGGACAGTAATGCTACGGAACTGCACATCTGAGCTGTGTAACGTGGCACATTTCATGTTAGATAGACTTTATCACAACTGAAGTTAAAAAAAACCTCACAAATCGTTCTAAGAAAAATTACGCAGATCATAGGAAAGGAGTCAGTGTCCAAAAGACTTTTAAAATCCCTTTAGACGGTCATTCAAGTTCCCCTTTGAGAACTGACCATTAAAACAGCATCTGCTCTTTGCATCGTGTTTCTAATGACACTGCCCACTGCTGGTACCGTTAGAAATGTATCCAAAAACTTCTATTTTATAGTGGGGCCAGAAAAAGCATCTATACTTCAGCATGAGCCGCCTGAATTCTTACAAACTAACAATAAAAGCAAACACACACCGGCAGATACAGGGCTGAAGAGGCAATTCAAAAGGGAATCCAAAAGGCCAATAAACATGAACATGTTCACTTTTGTAAAAACGAAAAGAAAGGACGTTAAACAGCGAGGCCGCTTCTACTTCCCGAACAGGCACGGGACAGAACGTGGGCACGTGAGCAGGGAAGTGGGGCCATGGTGGCCCCGAGCGGGACGGGGGTTGGAGGGACATCCCAGCAGCATAGGGCGCACACCCATGGATGGGCCTGGTGCAGTGTGGTGAAGCCTGAGGAGGCTTCAGGCGGGCACTCCCTGAAGAGGGCAGCCCACCACAGGGGGTGCGGGCAGAGCAGGATGAGAGGCTGGTTATGCACGGGGCTCACTAAATAGGTAGAGAGAGTAATGACCACAGGGTCAGGTCCCTGTCAGAATGAGAAGGTGCTATATGCATCTCAGCAAACAGGGGCACAGACCCCTGTTACGTGCAACACCATAGGCGGCTCTCAAACGCCCGCCGGTGGATGGAAGCGGCCGTATGGTGACTTTAATCGAGGCATCAGAGTGACAACCGCCACTGTGAAGATCGGTGCCCGGAAACCCGGTGCTGGCGGCCGTGGGGAGAAAGGCACGGGGTCACTTCTCTGACAGTCCTGCCACGGATGCGACACCTGAAGCTCAACGTCAGGGACACTAGACAAACCCAGTGGTGGGACATCCTACAGAATGGGCCGAGAATCCACAAAAACGTCAGGGCCACGACGTCAAGGCAAGACTCAGGAGCTGTTCCACCCTGGCAGAGACGAAAGAGGCGTGACAAGCCAGTGCGACACCTGGGCCTGAGCTGGACTCTTCCTGCAAGAGCCCTTCCTGGAACAACGGCCAGGCGTGGCTGGGGTCTGAGGACTCAGGCTTTTCCTGATTGTGACTATGTAGGGGAATGTCCTTCTTCACGGAAAATACACGTTCATGGTGGGGTCATGGGGCATTTGATGGACAGTTTACTTTCAAATACCTAAGGAAGAAAAAGTCCTTTGAAGGGTTTGTAATTTTCTGTAAGTCTGAAACCGTTTCCAAAAAAAAATTGTAAAATCGAGGCGCCTGGGTGGCTCAGTTGTTAGGTGTCTGCCTTCAGCTCAGGTCATGATCCCAGGGTCCTGGGATCGAGCCCCACATCGGGCTCCCTGCTCTGCGGGAAGCCTGCTTCTCCCTCTCCCACTCCCTCTGCTTGTGTTCCCTCTTTCACTGTGTCTCTATCACTCTGTCAAATAAATAAATAAAATCTTAAAAAAAAAAGACAAAAAAACACACACAGCAATCCCACTTCCAGGAATGCAGCCCTTGCAAATAATCACGGACGTGTGCCACCCAAGGAAAGCCAGCACTCATGCGGCGGCTACCGCTAAGGGAGGAGTCCACGGTGCTGGTACAGTTCCATAGGACATTTGTGACGGAAAAACAGTTACCACATATTACATCGAAAAGGAAGTTACAATAGAGCATTTTTTAGAAATTTAGCACCCACACAGTAAAAGACGGAAGAATATGTATCAAAAGGTCAACAATAACAGCCAGTGTTCCCGCTAAGCGGGAGGATTATGGAGGATTTTACTCTCTGCTTTGCTTAACTATTTGACAACCAACACTTTATGATAAAAACTCACATTTTACTCCTTCTAAATGCAGCACGTCTCAAGGACACAACCTTCTGGGTAGAAAGAGGTCCCATAAACCAAAGCTCCACTCTCAGGAAAGCGAGGGGCGAGACGGAGACGGACTTTCTTAATGCCACACAGCGGATCAGCCCACACCTGGTTCCCAGTCTGCCTCACAGCTTAGCTCTCCTTCTCTTTTCTGGAAGGCCAGAAATCCCACCACTAAAAACGTCCTTGTGGTCAGGTTCACCCGTTGTGCCGCCTCGCCTCTGTAAGCTCAGACAGCGGCTCTCCAGGACCCCGCAGGCTCTGCCCGGGGACATGAAGGGCTGGTGCTCAGCGGGCACCCTGCCACGTCACCCTCAGGACACCGAGCTCATGGAGCTTGCTCCTGCAGGACTCTGGCACCATCCACTCCAAATGCTCATCCACTGCAGCCCGTGGCTCAATCTGCGAATACTGACTGACCCGAACAACGAGCGCCAGGAGCTATGGGAGCTCTGTGGAAACACAGATCACGGACCCTGGCCCGCGTTATCTGTAAGGAACGTGCCATCTGATGTCAAATACTCACAAAATAGACGGTGTTTTCAGAATTCTGATGCCACCAGGCTGATTGGGAAATACGTCTTCCAAGAAAAAATATATGTGTCCAACTGCAATGCCTAGAGTCGCCCAGAAACAAAGAACGATGGAGAAGATGAAAATTTTGACTGCAGGTGGATCTGCCAACATAAATTCCATATGTTTAGGAAGGAATGTCAATATAATTACTCAAAATTAAAAGATATCGTCATCTTTGAGCCTATAACCACCAAATAATCCCAAGATAGCTGTATGTGAGTGCCAGACATGAAAAACAGTGACAGAGTAAGTTCACGCGCAAAGTAATAGAAACAGTAGCAATGAAGACTCTTACCCAAGAGGTCCACAATGATCGAGTTCCCCAGCAACAAGGAAAAGCCCATGAGCACCCAGGGCAGAAAGGGGGCCTGGAAGTTGAGAAGGCCGAAGAAGTTCATGCGCACGTACGGGTTCCTTCGGCTCCACACGTAGACGAGCATGATCGTAAAGGCCTGGCCCAGGAAAACTAAGCTCACAAACAAACCGAAAAGCTAGCAGGTAGCGTTAAGGAAAATCTCAAAATCACAAGTGTAACAGGAAAGGCTGAGCGAGAGAAGAGAACAAAGGGTTGTGTTCTAACAGAGGTCTGAGGTAGGGAAGTCCCACAGTCATTAATCTTTAGAGGAAAAGAAATCCTGAAAATAATTACCCAGAGCAACCAGGCAAAAATCTGTGTAGGTCAAAACATCTGGACTATAGCTGCTTCCCAGTAATATTGTTTCCATGAAGTTCTCAACTATTTGGAAAATATAATAATTCCTTGGTCAATAATTACATTAAATTTCACTCACCATTAGCACCTTTAAGAGGTGAGTAAAGCCAGCCGGAGCCAAACCGTCTTGTCAGACCAGACTACGTTCAAGTCTAAATTATACTATTTTATCAGTTTTGATAGCGACCAAATAAATGTCTTACCAACTTAGTTTAAAAGTACACACATCGAGCGGAACCCAGGGTGGCTCAGTCCGTTAGGTATCTGACTCTTGGTTTTGGCTCAGGTCACTCTCCCCCAACAAACTCTCTCTCTAAAAAAAACAAACTGTACGCACACGGACAATCCTCTGTCTAAAGTAGTGAACAGTGACCCACCTGTTACTGCTAAACGCCCTTCTGACTCGCCCACCCCGAGGCTCAGACGCGGTCACAGAGCGCAGGCTGTGAAGTGGCCACGGTACCTGCACCTACGGTCAGGAGGGCCGCCCCATCTGTGTGCTGGGCTTATCTAGCGGACTGTGGAAGACAGCTGGAGGCCTTTGGCAAGACAGAGCGTGTTCTTGAGCGTTTTCCCGTATTTGCTCTATTTGTTGAAGGATACGGTCATTAAGAATCCACCAAAAAGGAACATAAATACAAAGTCTGCTGTCCGACCTCGGAAAGAGCCTTCTTCCAGCATTCGACAGTAGCGGTATCTTAAGTTCCAAGTTAAGAAAACGGTAGGCACACACGTGGGAAGAAAGTCAAGTTTAACGTACGGCTGCAGTACACTCAACTCCGCCTTAGCTGTACGAAGCCAAGCCTTCGCTTCTGTGAGCGTGTCCACGAGGGGCAGTGTGGGGTGTCCCCTTGCACCCGGCATTTCGGGCGAGGTGAAGACCAGCTCCACGTTATACACACTGCTCCTGACTGGGGAGCGAAGCCCGAGGCCGCAAACACGTGCTTGCAGGGACTCAGGAAACCTTTTCAAAGCTGGGTCGTCTTTCCCGAACACAGCCCCACCACGACCTGAGCCACCCTTGCTTTTTCACAGCCTAACTTGGAAGAAACGCCTGGCAAGAAGCCTTGCGTGAGGATCTACTTTTGCAGGGCAGGCAGATTCGGCATTTCTACACCTCAGTTAATAAAAACGCATCAAGAGGAAAATATTTCATTATTAGAAACTTACCAGGATGGCGTATCACACAGGACACACAGGAATCCATCAGGCAGGGACCCTGTCACCCCAACAAGGCCCCATCTCCTGCACACGAGCTGGGCTGTAACCCGCTCTCAATCCAGAGGGTCAGGAAGAAGAGGAATGCCCTGTTCAGGGGGCCCAATTACCACCTGACCAGAGCATCCCTCTTCCCCTCTTTCAACAAGCAGCACGTGGCCTGCCAGGCAGGCATATGGCACTGTCTTTCCAGCCAGTAGAACCCGCAACCAAGATCCAGGGAGATCCCACGTTCTCCAGTCCCCATGAAGCTGCTCCCAGTCCTGTGCCGACACCGCGGGACTTATCACTGTATTTGGGTACCTGCTGATGTTATGTTGTAAATATGCCTCAAAGAATCCACTTCTTTCCCTTGATCTGATTTGTAAGGGATTTACGGGCAGAAGTGTAATCATTCTTCGGGTGAATACCTCCCATTAGAACCAACAGGAACCGACAAACACCCTCAAAATGGGACTTTCTGACCAGCTAATCTGTACCACGGAGCCAGCACTCAGAAGTCACAATTAAGAGAGTAACAAAATCAGCAGCATTAGAAGCTTTAACTTACATTCCCTAAGCAAACCTCCAGGTTTTATGCTAACCCCACTTAATAAAGGATACAGAAAGATCATGTTAAATAAAAAATTGAATCCCACTGGACCAAAAAATAAGAAATTGGTGATTAGCC